CCAGATTAGAATCTGCAAAGAAAACCTCCATACCAACTTAAAGTTGGCAAAGCTTTAAGTAACCTAAAAATGTTAAGAAGAGAGATGATAGCTATGCAGTGGGCAGAGTAGGGTCAGTCCCTAATTTCTACTTGAAATATCCTTGTCCCAGGTTCCCCATTAATTTAGAGATACCATTTCATCCCTTATGAATAAAGGCTACAACATCTTTTTTTACCCTGAACTCACTTGATGAGCAGCCTTAATTATTTAAACCATGGCCCAGACTTAGGAATTAAAAAAAAAAAAAAAAAAGAACACTCCGGGCATAGATGCCTTAACAGCTACATATCACAGATTGTATTATACACATTAGCAAGATCTCAGACCCTTATAATTCCAGTAGGCTTAGTGCTGTGGATCCCTGACCACAAAGGATTGGAAGCAGCAAAGCAAGGCAAAGGGGAAGTAGTAAAAATGCAGTTGGGATGAAGTTTACAATGAGAACTGATGGTAGCAAGAATAGCTTTGACATGTTCATGGTTATTTAGATTTACACATCTGTGCACACATCAAAAACAGTCACTCAGATCTTAGAGAAATTGTACTCAATTCTAGCTACATATTAGAATCACCTACTTTTCTCAAGCCTCAGTCTCAGAGATTCTGATCTAATTGGTTTGGAATGGGTGCAGGTATAGTATTATAGCTTCCCAGGTGATTCTTAGTGGTTTAGGGTCAGTCATCATAGGGCCCAGAGGTCTAAACACCTGAGTAGCCGCCAAGTAGGCTCTTTCCAGCTTGTTACAATCATTGACCATCAAGGATCCCAGGTTGATTAGGACGACCTTGGTTATCAGGATTTTTTTTTTAAAGACGAAAATACTCTATATATTAGAGGTGATTTTGACAGAAAATAAGATAGCCTAGAACTAAATGATATATAAACACCAATATAAGTCCTGTGTCATAGTTGGAGAAATCTAGAAGGCACTGGTGGGAAGAATCAAACACCCACCCCCATCTCTCCCTCCTGACCCTCCCCCCATAGCCCAAAATGTAACATGCCCATGAATCACCTGGGGGTCTCATTCCAATACAGATTCTGACTCAGTAGGTCTCAGGGGGAGGCTTCAGATTCCGCCATTCTGATGAGCTCCAGGTGATGCTACTGCAGCTGGTTCAGGGACCACACTGGGAATCAAGGTCATCCTGATGGTCTTGACTACCCCTCAACCCATTCTTTGGAACCCAAACAAGAAAAATGGCTTCCAAGAATTCCACTGGGGTCCTTGATCCAGAGCTACCGTACCCAAAACTACAGGCTTTCCTGAACTAACGTCATAGATTTTGTTCATCTCTTTTGTTAACTGTTCCCTCCTCCCACTAGGCAATGTTATAGGAGGACTGGGGACTACTGAGTTAGAAACGGGCTTACAGCACATGTAGTTCGCCCCATTCGTTACAAAAGTATGGCACTGAGGCCAAGTTGGCGAAGGATCTGCCAAGTTCACAGGTGATCATGGCAAAGGCAAAACTAGATCTAAGTCAGGACATGAACGCATCCGTTAAGGATTCTGTCAAAATGATTGCTTCCTGTAGCTTTCTGTGTGAAACGTCCATTTGCTTATCCTCAGGGAAATCACAGACTATTAAGACTCAGAAAGGAAACAATTTGAAAACTAGGCTGATGGCCTTTATAGCCCTTCGTCGGGGCAGATAACATACCGCAGAAGCTGAGAGACAGCTCTGAGACTATGCAGCAGCTACTGCTTCCCCTCTTGCGGAACGTTCACGAAAAAAAGCTCAAGGGCTCTGTAAGTTGCCCAGTGAACTCCACAGTCATTTTACTTCATTTTCTTTTCTTGGAACCCTTTCTCAAATAATTTTTAAAATCCCACACAATAATATATATATTCTTGCTCAATATTAAGAAGCCCTCATGCAAAATTGAATAGTTTTTACAAAAGAAGGAAAAAGAAATTCTATTCCCAGAACATTCTGCTTTCCCAGACACAAGGATCCAATTCTTGCTCCATTGTTTGTAGCCTTCTGGATCCTAGGGCCACGGATGGGGCTGGGTCAGTGGCCACATTGGCTCCTGGGGACCCCTTCCCTGGCCACAAAAGTCCATCTCAGCAGCACTATTTAAACTGGACTTGTTATTTCTTACCTCAGAGCTCTGGCCTGGGATGAGACGTCCCCAACAGAGCTGGTTAGCAACGTTTTCATCTTACTCTGTGGCTATCTGGGTCTGAAGTCAAGAGCCATTCACAGGAAAATCAGCCTGAAACCTGTAAGTTTGCATATTAAATATGAACACCACTAAGGGCTACAGTGGAAAAAAGCTTTGCTGGGCTCAAGGACCCTCACTCCACCCCAACTTCCCTCTGCTCTTCTCTTCTGTGTTCCTGGTAAATCCCGTTATATCTCAACTACCTTAGGCCACCTCAGCCCCTTCTTGGGAATTAGGTTGTCTGGACAGGCAAAAAGGCAGATACCCAGCTGCCAGGTGAATCAGGCGTCCTCATCAGATCTCTTGATATCCACTTTTGTGACACTTCAGAGAATCACAAATTATTTTATTAATGCCTGGCCAGAGAGATGGGAAAGAGCTAGAACGTGAGGCGTGGAACTCCATCCCGTGGTGATGTTTGAGCCAGGCTGGAGCTGGCCTCACGTGTGTCTCATTGTGCTGACTTTCTTAATTGCCTCAGTGGGAATTCGTTACAGCAAAATAAAGTGAAATTGTTTTCCTTATTGCTTCTAATTTACAGAGATGGTTTTGATCATATAAACAAGGAACTTTTGAAATCCACTGATCTTAGGGTGGAAGGAGGGGTTTCTTTTTAAGTATTCATTTTGAACTATGCTTTCACTAGTAAATTCAAAGCCCAAAGGGAAACACCCATGTTTCTCCACCACATTTTGTAATACCTGTTAGATGTCCACAGCATCACCGACCCATGGAACACGCATGCTTTGTGTATGGAAGACGAAGGGGGAGCGTCAAGAGTTGCACTTTGCCAAGAAATGTACTCCGACGCTCAAAGGCCCAGGCTGGGACCGATCCAGGGAAGCTTGGAAAGCCCAGACCTAGCTGAGGCCCGCGCGGGTCTCTTCTGCTCCCAGAAAATGTGGAAGGGGTCCCGGCCCTGGGCATCCTGGTGCCAACTGTGAGTTCCCAGCAGAGTGCCCAGAGTCCGGGTCCGGCAGCGGAGGGGAGCAGCGGGGCCTCCCAGAAGAAGAAAGGGCCACCGTCACCCCAGGTGCCTCTCTAGCAGCGGAGGCCGGCGGTCGGGGTCGCCGTGGGCCTGCTGGGGCCAGGTCTGCGTTCCCAGGCGCTGCCACCTTTCCAGGGAGCAAGTCAGGCCGGGACGTAGCGCCTGCGTGGGACCCTCACTCGCCACCACGACCCCCACGAGCCCCGCCCCATCCTGCCCTACGCCCTGCGCCCAGGTCGTCGTCCCGCCCCGGAGCCCCGCCCCAAGGCCGTCCTCCCGCCCCGCCGCTGGGTGGCGACCGCAGGCTGCCTGGCTATAAAGCGTGGCCCCACATCCCAGGGACCAGCGAGCTACCTGGAGAGGCTCTGGCTCTGGCTTCTTAGAGGGTCCGAGGGAGCCATGGTCGAGCAGCAGTTACGCACGGACTCGATCACTGACCACCCGGACCGCCTGTGGATCTGGCAGACGCTCGTGTATTTGGATGAGAACCAGTGCACCTGGCTGCCCTTAGTCATGGAGGTACAGCCCGCTTTGGAGCGGATGGTGGGGCAGCAGGGGCAGCCGCGGGAGCTTGGGAGGCCCCAGGACGGGCGAGGCCTAGAAAAGCACCCACTGTGGGGCGGGGAGGCTCCCCACAGATGAAGCCACTTTGAGCTGGGCTCTGGAGGATGAACAGTTCACCAGGCCGGGAAGAAGGGTGGGAGAACCACAAAGGAATGTCGACCAAAGGATGGGACCCAGTGCCTGTGAGTGTGACTATAATGTTGACTACAGCAGGACGTTTCTGGGCTTCGGGGTCCTAATCCTTAAAACGGGTATCTCTAAAGTAAGTGACTCATTCATGTGGCCAAACATCGGAATCATCTTAGGTGGGTCCCAGAAATCTGTATTTTAAAAAGAACCCTCAACAGCTTCGGGCCATGGCAACCATGAACATAGCCCTAGAGTGTGAGGTATTTCCTATTTCCTCTGTGCTTTATTAAGAAGAACAAATTTAACGAGTACAAGCGCCGGTATTGAATCAGTATTGGCGCGGTTTCATATGTGATACTTTAAGATGCGTCTTTAGTTCATGTTAGGTTTTTATTAAAGTAATGTAACTCTTTTACAAGTATTTGAATTTACTCAATGCAAGAGTCAAAAAATATTCAAACTCTTTCCAAACATACACTGAAGAAAGCATACAGATTTAAAAATATGTTAGAACATACATGTAATACAGTAGCAAATAAGAGTTATTGAGTGTTGACTGTGTCTCTACAGATGGGAAACTGAAGCACAAAAACGTAATTTGCCCAAGGTAGAACTGCTAGTAGGTAATGGGGCTGGAATTCTAGGCTCTTCAACCACCAAAATTTGCACTTCTGTTGGCATTTAAATTTTTTAAATATACATTTTTCTTCAAAAATCATGTCAAATGTTTACTTAAGTCAAAATTTGAAAAATAATTTGAAGATTTCAGTGAATATCTTTTTTAAAATGTCTGCTTGAGAAATCTCTTCTTCAATGTGACACCAAAATCACGAATCTAGATAGTTTTTCACATAATCATGTTAAATGCCACACAAAAAGTAACCCACTAGCAAACTATGGGGCAGGGTTTGCCTCACACACTTGAAAAAGCCAGCATTCTTTTTCTCTTTTTTTCTTTCGTCTTTTTTTTTTTTTTTTTTTGGTAGAGACAGGATCTTGCTCTGTCACCCAGGCTAGTCTCAAACTCCTGGCCTCAAGTGATCCTCCTGCCTCAGCCTTCCAAAGCACTGGGATTACAAGTGTGAGTCACTGCAACTCAGCAGAAAAAAGTGTGCCTTTCATGGCCCTTGCTAGGTGGCTAGACACGTGTGCATGCTGGTGGTTCTGGCCCAGCCAGAGTCCCTGTGAGGATCATGCATGGCCTAAGGAAGTCAGCTTCAGGGGACAGTGATGACCAGCATTTCACACTAGGACCCTTCCCCAGCTGGGTGCGTGGCTGGCAGGAAGGACTCCGGTTTTCTGTGCCTGGAGGAGCCCTGGCAAGTGGACCCTGAAGGTATGCCCTGTCCTTTTCTTCTCCTCAGAAGGCGGATAAATTACGGGTGCTCTTTCGTCAGGAAGTCACCGTCCTGGGGAAGCCTATGACCCCCACCCAGATAGGCCGAAGCCCGCTGCCTCTCATGTGGCAGCTCTACCCTGATGGACGATACCGATCCTCAGACTCCAGTTTCTGGCGCATAGTGTACCACGTCAAGGCGAGTGTGTTTCTCCCAGGGATCTATCGGGCGATCTTGGGTTTCCCCTCCTCAGTGCCTGGCCTCAGTGGTTTATCTTCCCTCCATCCCAGTGCCAAAAGCATTAAAAAATGGGGGAAATGTACAACTGCGGATTTCTAAAGGATTTTAACAGAGAGAAGATGGATCCTCTGAGGTCTCTAACAGAACCCTCCCTCTACTCCCTGCCAGCCCCCAGCCTGGCCGCAGGAAGCCCCCTTTGGTGGGCAGTCACAAGCTGAAGGCTACAGGGAGGAGGGCAGTCTCCAAGAGCCCCCGAAATCCTCACACTCGGCTTTCCACTGTTATTCCCAGCTAGGGAAGGCACAGGAGTGAGGAATGGAGGGAGAGAAGGGCTCTGGCTCATCAGTGCCCTCTCTCTCTCTCTGCCTCTCAGATTGAAGGTGTGAAGAACATGCTTCTCGAGCAGCTGCCAGCTGACTAAGTGTGGCATGGTGAGTTCCACTGGGGCCTGACCCCTCTTAGTCCACAGCGGCTGTATCAGAAGGAAAGACCACCCCTTCTCCGTGAGGGCAGTGCTAACCCCTCCCCAACTGTTGCCTTCTGAGGGTCCTGGGATGGGAGAGGCTTCCTAGAGGCACTCATGTCTCTCCCTTACCTCTTTGGGACCCAGGAGCTTCGCAGATGCATACGGCCCCCTTAGCGCAGCTGCACACATCTGTACAGTGCTCACAAGTTTCAGCCAGCGCTTTCATTGTCAGTTGCTTTCTTAAATTACATCAACCGAGCCAGATATTAGATGGTGTTACTGCATTTTGAGGAAGTGGTCTTCTGACCATAAGCCCTCTGTCCTGTTTAGAATTTGCCTTGGCTCAGACAGAAGGCCTCTGGGGCCATCACTGACCACCAGGCTTCCCACTCAGACTTGCTCCCGCAGCACCGCCCCTCACCCCTACCTGGTCCTTTCCTTCACCCTTGACTCTGTCTTCTCTTGTCCTTTCCCAGGTCTTGCAGCACCCATCTCCTTTCACCCCAGGGCCTGCGCCTGGCCAGTCCACAATGGGGATGTTCGTGTTTCTATTCACCTTCGTTTCCTATGCCGGTGTCGTCTTCTCCACCATGCTGGGGTCTGGGAGAGAACAGACAGACAGAGGATGAGCTCTACCCAGGGCCTGCTGGACCTGCCTGTGGCTCACTGTGCACCCATCAGCACTACCACTCCTGCCAGGGAGGACTCCAGTTGGTAGAGCTTCCTCCAGGTGCCCAGTATACCTGTGCCTTGGCTTTTCTCAGCTGGCTGATGGTCTTTGGCCTCTTTCTGTCCCTTCTGTCCCTCACGGCACTAGTGCTTCATGTCGCACACCCATTCAGCTCCCTAACTTCTGAGAACACAGCCGATTCACCTGAGCAAGGCCTCTGAGACCCTGGGCCAGTGGTCTCGCGTGGGGCTGTGCCTGCACACAAATACATCTGCAAACCCTGCCTGCCAACAGGGGTTCAGGGGCAGCTCAAGGAAAGGCCTGAAAGGAGCCCATATCTGTGCTCAGGACTCAGAAGCCTTTGGGTCAATGGTCCACAGCCTGGGACGCAGCATCAGGCCAGGCCGCTGAGCCCCGTGGACAAACCCCCAGAACCCTTGGCTGCCTACCTGGGAAAGGGATGGACGTTGGGTTTCCCCACTTTTATAGATGACCACACACCTGGGTGTTGTTACTAGGCTGTATGTGGCATGAATACTTTTTGTAATAATCGATTGATTAAATGCAAGATGATTTCTCTAACTTTGTGCTGAATCAGTATCTATCCTTGGCTTAGATTCTGGTGGAGAGAAGTGAGAATAGGTAGCCACCAAACAAGAAATAAATATTCATGGATTTACTTCTTTTACTTTGGAGATAAGGGACTACAGTTTTTTCGTCCATGTAATCCAACACTTAAAACCCCAGCGCTCTTGGAGGCGTATGTTGAGAACCACTAGAGTAAGCAACCTCAAAAACGTTGTCAGCAATTCTTGGCATTCAAGAGCCCTTCCAATCCGCCTCCTCGTGGTTCTGCCCTCCGCATCCTCCTCATTCCCATGCGCCCTTGCCCCCGCCAGCTCTGCCTCCTCCTCACCCAGGCAGTCACCAGGCTCTGTCCTTGCCCGGATACTTCTATCCTTTCTGCTTCAATCCCAGCAGGAGCCCCTCCTGCCTGAAACTGTCCCTGAGCACTCAGGCCCCAGGCAGATTCCCCTCCCCACATCCCCTGACCTGCAGTCACAGCAGAGCCCGCCCTGTGACCTCCTCTTACTCCCTTCCCAAGACCCGCTGCCACTCCCTAGATGGTAGCTGGACCTCGGATATTACCGGGGGATGCCTTCCGGAGAGTGGAATCCATCCTGGGTAGAATCCTGGCCCTCCCACTTGTGTCTCTAGTCCACAGCTTTCTCGTCACAGAGATGAACTTAGAGGGTCCTTCTGAGAATTCAGTGGGACATATAACTCAAGTGCTTTAAGAGAATTGTGTAAGGAAAACACTATTTCTCCCACTTTATAGTGTCTGAACCCAGGTTTCTTAACCAGCACTAGACAGAGAAGAAACACTGGCGCCCAGCGTGCCAGGGTGTGTGTCTCTTGTTGTAAACCCGTCACCCAGCACGGCGCATGGCAGCCTGGGATTTCGGTCTGTGGGAGCAATTACTGTACAGATGCCTCTCAGCAGGGCCAAAACATGGAGAGTCAGAGCAGTGGCACCACAGGAGGTCAGGCAGCCGCCTCATTTTAGGAATAGGAACATGGAGACCCAGAAAGAGGAAAGCTCGTGTGCAAGATTCTTTTGTTTACCGAATATTTAACCATCACCATGAGCAGCGCCAGGAGCTGGGATGCAGCCTTAGTTCTGGAAAAAGATGAAACGGTGCAAAATCCCAAAAGAAAATAGAACAAAGTAACAGGGTAGGGAGTTCGAATGGCTGGTAAGGAAATTCCTGTCTGAGAAGGTGGCATTTAAGATTGAGCCTTGAGGCCAGGCGCTGTGGCTCATGCCTGGCCAGCACTTTGGGAGGCCAAGGCGGGTAGATCACGAGGTCATCAGTTCAAGACCAGCCTGGCCAACATCCTGAAACCCCGTCTCTACTCCAACTACAAAAAGTTAGCTGGGAGTGGTGGCGGGCGCCTGTAATCCCAGCTCCTCTGGAGGCTAAGGCAGGAGAATCACTTGAACCTGGGAGGCAGAGGTTGCAGTGACTGGAGATTGCACCACTGCACTCCAGCCTGGGCAACAGTGACAGACTCAATCTCAAAAAAAAAAAAAAGATTGAGCCTTGAAAAAGAGGGAGCTAGATTCTAAGGAAGAGGTAATGGCAAACGCTGTGAAGATTTAATTTGCTGTGGAAATTACAAACATAGCAAAAGGATCACTTCTCACTAAAAGAAATATTGTTTTGTAAGAAAAATGTCCCTAATAAATTAACTAAATGCAATGCAGAATCTCAGTTTTCCATAAGACTGACTAGGGTTTTGGCTGGAATGGTTGGGCAGACAATGGGGCTGGAATGGTTAGACGTCCTATTTATCAGGATGAGGGAGGCATAGGTTTGGCCAAGGGTGGGGGATATCTCAGGAGTTCTGTGTTAGTGTGTTACACATGAGTTACTTAGGATACCCCAGTTGAATTGCTGATAGTCTGTTGATTGAATATGGATCTAGAACTCAGCTCAGGTCCAGAACAATACATTGAAGAGTCTTTAAAATGATCATTAAAGCCAGGGGCTTGACTGAGATCACTTATGGGGAGATGGTGGTCTCTTTGTTTTATTTATTTATTATTATTTTTTGTTTTGAGACAAGGTCTTGCCATGTTGCCCAGGCTGATCTCAGACTCTCAAGCTCAAGTGATCCTCCTGCCTCAGCCTCCCTCCCAAGTAGCCAGGATTACAGGTACAAGTCACCAATGCTTAGTGATGGAGATGTCTGAAACCAAGAGAAGAAAGTGTTTTAAGGAGGATGTGGGCAGCTGAGGAACTCGCTGTTGAGAGACTGCGTAGAGGGAAGGAAGGAATGTGGCCATTGGAGTTGGTACGTGGAGAGCGATGGGGACCTTGCCAGGCAGTGTCAATGCTGTGATGGGGCAGAGCCCTGCTGGTGTGGCAGGAGAGGAGGGGTGTTGAGGAGAGCCAGCCCTGCTGTTAGCCCTGTTGTAAGGAAAATTGGAAAAGTGAGGTGCTGAGTATGTTCCAAGTAGGAAATAATGGAGCCTGGGCATGCATGCTCCAAGAAAGGGTTGGTGGAAAGTGACCACCTGATGGGGCAGAACAGAGGGCCCAATCCCAGGAACAATCCTAGATGACTGAGGAATCTAGAAGGCACAAACTGGAGGCACAGACGCACGTGCCAGCATCCGACAGAGCAGTGCCAGCAGCTGATCTATGTTATGCTAATCTTTTTAAAAATTTTCCCTACACAAAGTTGTTTTGCCAATGTATTTTAAATACTTCATAATTTTTCCCTTACATACTTTTTTTCTGAGACGGAGTTTCACTCTTGTTGTGCAGGCTGGAGCGCAATGGCATGATCTTAGCTCACTGCAACCTCTGCCTCCCAGGTTTGGGTGATTCTCCCACCTCAGCCTCCCAAGTAGCTGGGACTACAGGCTTCTGCAACCACGCCTGGCTAATTTTTGGATTTTTAGTAGAGACAGGGTTTCATCATGTTGGTCAGGCTAGTCTCGAACTCCCGACCTCAGATGATCTGCCTGCCTCAGCTTCCGAAAGTGCTGGGATTACAGGAGTGAGCCATTGTCCCCAGCCTCCCTCTACATATTTTATTCCATATATATTTATTTATATTTTCTTTAATTTCTTTGAATAACATGTTGCAGTTTTCAGAGTATAGGTTTTACATTTCTCTTGTTAAATTGATTCCTAAGTTTATTCTTTTTTTATTATGCTAAAAAAAACATCTAATTAGCCTGGTGTGGTGGTATGTACCTGTAGTGCCAGCTACTTGTGGAGCTGAGGGGGGAAGGATTGCTGAGCCTGGGAAGTCAAGGCTGCAGTGAGCCGTGTTTGTGCCACTGTACTCCAGCCTGGGTGACAGAGCAAGACCCTGTCTCAAACAAACAACAAAAAAAGCAAACAAAAAACCTAACATGAAATCTGCCCTCATAACAGACTTTTAAGTGTTCATATAATTGTTAATTATATGAACATTATTGTACAGTAGATCTCTAGAACTTTTTCCTCTTGCATGAGAAAGAAAACCACCACTCTTCTTTCTGCTTCTATGAGTTTTCCAACTTCAGCTTCCTCACATTAGTAGGAATCACACAGTATCTGTCCTTCTGTGGCTGATTTATTTCACTTACTGTGATGCCCTCAAGGCTCATCCATTTGGCTAGATTTCCTTCTTTTCTAAGGCTGCATAAAGTTTCATTGTATGTATAGACCACGATTTCCTCATCCATCAGTGGATAGGAGGTGGTTTCTACCTCTTTGCTATTATGGATGGTGCTGCAATGAATGTGGGCAAGCAATATCAATTCAAGATTCTGTTTCCTAATTCTTTTGGATAAATATCCATAAGTTGGATTGCCGAGCCATATGGTAGTTCTATTTTTAATTTTTTGAAGATCCTTCATACTGGTTTCTGTAACAGTTAAACATTTTACATTCCTACCAACTGTGCACAAGGGTTTGCCACATCCTTACCAGCATTTGTTGTTGTCTGTTTTTTTTTTATAACGTCCATCCTCACAAGTATGATGTGATACTTATTTTACTTATTCTGTTTCAATCTGGATGATTTTTCTTTTGTCTTCTTGCCTAATTACCCTAGCTAGAACCTCCAGAACTGTGTTGAGTAGAAATAGTGAGAGTGGGCTGGGCATGGTGGCTTACGCCTCTAATTCCAGCACTCTGGGAGGCTGAAGTAGGCAGATCACCTGAGGTCATGAGTTCAAGACCAGGCTGGCCAACATGGTGAAACTCCCATCTCTACAAAAATTAGCTGGGCGTGGTGGTGGGCGCCTGTAATCGTAGCTACTCAGGAGGCTGAGGTAGGAGAAACTCTTGAACCTAGGAGGTGGAAGTTGCAGTGAGCCAAGATTATGCCACTGTACTCCAGCCTGGGTGACAGAGCAAGGCTCCATCTCAAAAAAAGAAAGAAAGAGAGTGGATATCCTTGCCTTGGTCCTGATCTTAGGGGGAAAGTTTCATCTTTCACCCTTAAGTCTGATATTAGCTATGGCTTCTTCATAAATGTCCTTTATCATGTTGAAGAAGTTCCCTTCTATTCTCAGTTTATTGAGTGTTTTTATCACCCAGAGATGTTAGATTTTGTCAGATGCTTTTTCTGCATCTGTTGAGATGATCATCTACTGGAATGTTGGGTTTTGTCCTTTATTTTATTGATATGGTGTATTACACTTTTTTTTGTATGTTGAACCACTTTGCATTTCTGAGATGAATTCTGCTTGATCCTAGTGTATAATCTTTTTTATATGTTGCTGGATTTGGTTTGCTAGTATTTTGTTAAGGGTTTTTATATCTGTGTTCATAAGAAGTATTAGTCTGTAGTTTTCTCTTGTGATGTCTTTGTCTGATTTTAGTATCATATATAAGTTTTTAATACTACAAATTTTATTTTTTAATTTAAAAATATTATTAGACACAGGGTTTCACCATGTTACTCAGGCTAGTTTTGAACTCTTGGATTCAGGTGATCCTTCTGCCTCTGTCTTTCAAAGCCTGGGCAAAATGTTGAGACCTCATCTCTAAAATAAATAAATAAATAGATAAAAAGCCTGGGCGCAGTGGCTTATACCTATAGTCTCAACATTTTGGGAGGTCAAGGCAGGTGGATCATTTTAAGTCAGGAGTTCGAGACCAGCCTGGCCAACATGATGAAACCCCATCTCTACTTAAAATACAAAAATTAGCCAGGCATGGTGGCACACACCTCTAATCCCAACTACTCAGGAGGCTGAAGTGGGAGAATTGCTTTAGCCAGGGAGGTGGAGGTTGCAGTGAGCTAAGATCATACCACTAGCCTGGGCAATAGAGTGAGACCATGTTTCAATCAATCAATCAGTCAATCAATAGTAAAACTAAATAAGTAATACATAATACAAAGTAAAATTAATAAAATAATAAAAATAAATATATCAGGCCATGTAAATTATGCCTATGTATCAAATGCACACGGATATGCTCAATTTTCATGATTCTCCCATGTGCATTTGAAAAGGAGGCATTTCTCTCAACTAAGTTCAGAGATGTAAATCTCTGTTTTATTAATAATATGGCTTAGGTTTTCTGTGTTCTCAGTCATTGTTTTTGTTCATTTGTTCTATCTCATCCTGAAAAAAATATACTAATGTTTCCTATTGGTATATTCTCCTTTAATCTGGTAGTTGACGTTTCATAAAGTTGTTGCTGTGCTACCGGCCACATAAGTGTTGATTGTTATATCTTGTGTAGCCTTTGGCTCAATGATCTATCCTTTCTTTCAGTGGTTTCTGGCTAGTGTTCTACCTTGACATACATGAAGATCGTGAACTGTGTCTATCTGTTTGTATTAATTTGCATTTGTCTGGCATATCTGTGCCTAGCATCTTATTTAAATCTTTCTGAATCTCTTTGTTTTAGGCATGTTCATTCATATGTGTGTGCATGTATATGAAAAGGTTGGATTTTGATGCATTTTTTCAATTGGTGAATGAAACTCATTTCAGGTACTGATGATATATCTGATGTACTGGTCTTAGTATTGCTGTATGTTTGTCTTTATATACATATAAAATTTTCTCTATATGCTCTGCTTTCTACATTCCTTTTTAGCATTTTTCTTGGCATTGCATTTTCATTTCATATCTTTACACTTATATCTTAGGGTAGTTTCCTCAGTGCTTGTTTTCTTTCCTTTCTTTTACTTTTTTTTTTTTTTTTTTTTTTGAGACAGGGTCTTGCTCTGTCTCTGTTGCTCTGTTGCTCAGGCTGGAGTGCGGTGGTATGATCTCAGCTCACTGCAACCTCCACTTCCCAGGCTCAAGCAATCCTCCCACCTCAGCCTCCCGAGTACCTGGGACTACAGATGTTTGTCACCATGCTTAGGTAATTTTTAAATTTTTTTGTAGAAATGAGGTCTCACTATATTGTCCAGGCTGGTCTTGAACTCCTGGGCTCAAGCAATCCTCTCACCTCAGCCTCCCAAAGTGCCGGAATTACAGGCATGAGCCATTGCACCTGACCAGCCTTTCCTAAAAAAATACTATTTACTCTAGCATTGTCTAAAGAACGCTCTATAATACTGGACATGTTCTGTATCTATGTTGCCCAGTGTGGTAGCTACTAGCTACTGTGGCTATGGAGCACTTGAAATATGGCTAGTATAATTGAGAACTTAATTTTAAATTGTATTCAATGTTAATTGAATTTTAATAGCCACATGTGACTGGGGTCCACCTGTTGGGTGGTGCAGGTCTTTTGGTTCCCTACTGCAAGCAAAATTGAAATGACTAACATTTCCTTCCCCAACCCCTCTCCCTCTCCAACACATCTAAATTAATATTAAATGCTAAGTAATATCTCCAAGGAAGCCATCCAGCTTACTTTCTGTATACTCTCCATTTTTTCCCCATTTTTGATAACTGAAATATACCTTTATTATCAGACAATGTAACAAACACATAGGATTTCTCACACTCCTGCGCCTTATTTAGGATTAGGGTTAGGGTTAGACATTTCTCACCACTAGTCCTAATGGAAAGCTTCCTAAATACTTCTTGATTGTCTGAAGGTCACAGCTTAGTGGATTACTCAGGAAGTGCTCACAGGAACATTATTTCTGGATTCCTTCCTCTTCACTGAGGTTTGTCTGTGGCCTTTCTTCTTGAAGGCATTTGACTCAAGAATTTAAAAATCTCAAAGTGAGGAGGGTGTTATATTTCCTTTCTTGGTATTTGCACTATGTTACTCCATTTACTTCTCTGTGGTTTTAACTTAAGTATTCTGTGAAGATCTAATCCCAGGTAAGTTCCTTGGTCATTTTGCCTTATGCCAAAGGGATTTCTGTTCCATAACATACAATAATTTTAAGACTGTGTCTTGGAGGTCACTGTTCTTGTTCACATGTTCTAGGCACATCATGGTCCCTTCAGATACATAGGTTCATGTCATCTTTTTTGTCTTCAGGAATTTTTTTTTAATAGTTTCTACCCACTGCCTTACTTTCCTCTTTGTGGGGGTTTGGCGGTGAGACTTCTATTATGGATATGTTGCATCTTCGTTGCCTATTATATCCATCACTTTGTCTTCAATTCTTTTCGTCTTTTTATTCTACTGATTTTTTTCTCCTACTTTACTTACTCAGTTTTTCTTTGATATCTTGGCTGGTCTGCTGGACTTTGTGAGAATTGGGAGATTGGAAAACAATGCCTCTGTCAGCATCTTGCCCTGAATCTTATTGTATTTTAAAGTTACTTTGTTACTGTCACTGTATTTTGCTTACAAAACAACTTTATTTACAAAGGGGAAATGCCTGCAGAAATAAACTAATTCTCAGAGATTCTAACTTTTTTGTATGTCAAATGAGTTAACTTGAACTAGTCTAGTGAATTTATTGTCAGTGAACCTCCTATGGCAAATAGAACTTAGAAATTTAAGTGAGAAATTTTCCAAGAAAATGCTCTCACAAATACTTTACTATAATGATCATTTATAGTTTTGAGGTGAAAATTCTATAGCTCTTGAAACTGCTAAACACATTTTAATAATATGGGAGAGCTCTTTGTACTAGTCAATACTAAAACTTATAAATTCATTATTGGTACCTGGTGCAGCAGTGTGGGACTTACTTACACAGCAGGTTCATTGGTTAAGATGACAATTACTCAGGCCCCTGGACTTAGAAGGCCCCCAAAAGGCTGAAATCCAGTAAACACGGCCAGGGCTATTCTGACTTGGTGGTGCCTCTCCTCAGCACTGGCCTTATCAGCTCACTAAGCAAGGACAGTAAGAAGTCAGGGCCGCTTTACCATCTTATCGGCTGGGGTGTCTCATTTCTACTCATCCCCACAACTTGGAGGTCATCAGTAACCACAGTGAAGCTTCA